AAAAAAAAAAAAAAAAAGAAAAGCTACAGTCATTGATTAGTAAGATTTTCCTAGCTGGGACTTATTTCCTTTCTTTGTAAATGAAGAACCATTTAAATGGCAGGATACAATAACTGCAAACTTCATTACTTTTTTTTTTTGATGGAACTGGGGATTGAACTCAGGCCCTTGCATTTGCCAGGGAAGCACTTATTCCACTGAGCCATCTCCCCAGCCCCTACTTTTTTTTAAAAAACTTCATTACTTTTGAAACACTTTTATGAACATATATTGATGTAGTACTGTCCAGAGAGAAACTTACAGTAAATTTCCGCTTTAGGCCAGGGGGCTGACACCCCCCAGACTGCCCAGGAACGCTCCTGGAACTCCGTCCTGGTGCTTCTCCAATGACTTCCTGTCCAGCAGCTACGTGTCCAGCAACCTTCACCTCCTCAATGGTGATTAAGTAGCGATCACTTTCTAAATCATCTCCAGGTTTCACCTAAATTTTAAAAATAAATGTTAATGGGTACAGTTCAGCAGTCAAGTAAATGTCTAGAACACGCAATACTCTGGGTTTGATCAGCAGCACAGCAAAATACATACATGCATACAAACACACTAACCTCATATGCATTGAACTTCAATTCTCCATACGTCCATTAAGCCCACTAATACTGAGCAAGACACAGTAGATGTTAATACATAACTGTTGAATGAACGAATTAGTAACTAAATTCTTCAGTAATTTATGAGGCTGCACTAGTTAACTATCAACAAACACAGAGAAGGATCACAGAATTTTAAAAACTGTCTCACTTGCCCAAGCAAGTGGAGTCTACAGGAGGCCCCTTGCTACATGCCAAGGGCACAGTATAGGCTACAAATCACGCTCTCTCAGGGAATTCACTTAGAAGCTAATATGTGAGATGTCATTTTGCAAGTAAGGACTATTACTTATCAATTACATCATTCTTTTTTTTGGGGGGGAGGGTCTACAGGGTGTTCAGGGGCTATTAGATGGAACTCATAGTGATTCACCTGTTTACAGCCTCCCAAGAGCTAGGATTACCGGCATGTACCACCACACCCAGTCTCAATTACATCATTCTAAGTGAGTATGAATTGGATATCTACAATCATCATACATTTAAGGCATTAGACACCATAGTAGGTTAAATAATCTTTTTTCTTTTTCTTTTTTTTTTTTTAATGGTACCAGGGATTGAACTCAGGACCTTATACGTGCCAGGCAAGCTCTTATTCCACTGAGCTATTTTCCCACCCCAAAAATCACATTTAAAGGAAGCTCTGGGTGTGTGTGTGTGTGTGTGTGTGTGTGTGTGTGTGTGTGACCAACTCAGCCTGCCCTGGAGGCAGGTTAGTGCAGCGTGGGGTACTAGGGATCAAATCATGGTCCCTGCGCTTACCTAAGCTTGCCTCAGCAGGCACTTCAGACCACTGAGCTATCTCGGTGGCCCTAAATAAAGCATTTTTTAAAACATTTCAGTGAACAAGTAGAGCACTCAACATGACCACTGCTCATTGAGGCATAAAAATAAGACTGTCAACCTAGTTTGGAAATATACAAAATCTCTATAAGCTTAATCCTCTACTAACGAAAGGATTTAAGATAAAAATAATAATGGTTCCTACCAATTAAGGATCTACTAGACCTAGACCTTCTACATAAATGTAGAAGTATAACCAGTATCCCTGTCATATGAAACTAAATACTGTGGCCAAATACAACATGATGTGTACTTTAAGCTAAGAATGTGTACTTTGATTTATTTATAATCAGTGTACTAAACTGCCAGGCACTTTACATTAAGTTATTTGTAATCTTTTTAAAATTTTTTTTCTGTATTTAGTACAGAGTCTCACTATATGCTAGGCTTGCCATCACATCCAGTCTCAGTCCCCTTCTCAGCAAACCCCAGGGGGCAGGACCAGACCACATAGCACAGCAGGGCAGGGCATGCCAGAGATCAAACCACTGATCCCTGCGTCTGCCTAATCTGCTGAGCTATCTGGCCTGCCCTGTTATTTGTAATCTTGAGACCAACCCCATAAAGTCTATCTATATCTATATGTTCAAGTTGAGAAGTTAGCCATGGAGAAGAGATCAGTTAGCTAGGAGGTGTGTGGGAATGACCCAGAATAACCAACTCTAACATCTTTATTCATTACACTACTTACAGCCCTACTTCTCTCCTCCCCTTTGCTTTTTGCACTGGTCTGCACCTGCACTCTCATGGCTACTCGGGAGGCTGGAACAGAAGAACCCCTTGAGGCCTGGACTTCAGGACAGTGTGGACCAACAGAGTAGAACTCTCTTTTAAAAAAGGGACTAAAGAAATAAATAAATAGGGCTGGTGAGATGGCTCAGTGGTCTAAAGCACCTACTTAGAACAAGCTAAGCTAAGCAAAGCACAGGGACCGCGGTTCAATCCCCCAGCA